CTGGAATTCCCGTAAACAATTAATGATATCTCCTTTGAGACTGCTGACATCTCCAACGGAAACGTCTGGAATCTCCATGGGGAATGTCTGGAATCTCTGTCTCTACATATGAAGTATGCAATTTATGCTGCCAAAACACGCAACACTCATGACGAACGCTTCATAAGCATTTGGTGAAGCAGGGTTTTTTCATCTAATGGCTCATATATTACACTTCTAGTAGCATCTCTCCTAGATTTCTACAATATTGTTGATCTTCTGCAACGGAACGGGATCTCCAATGAAAATCATAGACTGCTTGATCTATGTTTCCTGAGCCGTGAACTCACTTCTAATTGCTCGGACCAAGAGGCACCCGAACCACTAGTTAAACGTTGTAGATACTATTCAGCTATCATTACACTTATATCAGGCTTGCACTTTTCGGGTTACCGTGGACAGCGATTTGTACACGCAAACCAAAAATCTATTACAATGAATGTTAGTTCCGTTTCCTATCATCCTCTGTTCATCAACATTGCAACGAATGTTAGAAATTGACCATGCAGGCGATGTAATGGTTTTTTGTCTTTTTTATTTCGTGTTCTATCTACGCTTTCGACTATACCAGTAAGCTTGTAGAACGACGCACACACTTGCCTCGAATCTCTCCAGCAGAAAAAGCATACGAAGTCGAGTATGCGGGAAAATGAGCGCTTCATGTTTGCTTTAAAGGCTATCCATATACAGAAGCATGGGGAGAGCAGTGGAGAAAGCACAGGTCTGATAATCGCAACGTTCGTGGTTCGAGTCCAGTCGGCAGTCTGTTTCCAATTTTTTTCGACATAACTAATAGCGAATTTGTTTTTGATTCAGTTCCAACCTGGATCGGGTATCAAGATTGGGTTGGTTTGTTGTCTGTCAAACGTTTGTTTTTCTAACCTGGCTCGGATTGAGGTTCGCACTGACAATAAGCTCGGGTTCGCACGGGTTGGAACTGGTTCCAACCTGGATAATAAACAAATTCGCTATAATTTTCCTCACTAATACACTCTACCGAACAATGTCTCCAATTTTCTTGCATTGGACCGCAGCTCGGTATATCGCATCCTCGGTTCATGTGGTCTCCACTAACATCCTCTGATGATGAATCCCACATAATTGTAAGCGAATCTTACATCCCTCGGTTGGGTGTAGTAACCCTCATTGGTTTAACCACCGACTCAAGTGACTGAAGTCATCCAAACGAGCTGCCTTGAAGAAATTTGGTAAACTTTGAACGGAGGCATCGAAGAAAATGTAAAACTTCGCCAACAAGCAGTATAAGCGGTTCAACAAACAGCTTTATCAAGCCCATCAGCGCCATCTATAAACTAAACTCAAAGCAAATAGCACGTGCTTCTAGAATCATATGAACGATCAACGGAAGGAATTGAGTTTACCTTCTATCGTGTACGGATCGAGAAGATCTGATACGGAGGGAATCGCTGAACTGTTCATGTTACAATTCAGCAGTATCTTCGTCAAAGATCGAATGCTGTTGGACCGAATTTTTTAAACGAAGACCTGCTCTACGATCATCATTAGTCGAGATAGGCTCTCGACTAATGATGATCGTAGAGCAGGCCTTCGTTTGAAAAAATCTTTCCGCACTGGCCCTGACGGAATCCCTTCCGTGGTTATTAAGAACTGTATTTGAGTGCTGGATTATGGGATCTTTCCCGACGGCTGGAAGGATTCTTTTGTTTTCCCTATCTTCAAACAAGGCAATAAGTAGTCTGTGTAGTCAACTACCGTGACATCGCTGCTTTATGAGAAGTCTCAAAACGTTTTGAGCTATTGGTGCTAGATTATTTAAAACACACTTGCTTCAGTTACATGGCGTCCAAACAACACGGATGTATGTCGGAGCGGTCGACCGCTACAAATCTCGTACAATACACATCATCAATCATACGGGAGATCGAAAGAAGTCATCAAGTGGATGCTGCCTACACCGATCTTTCAGCTGCTTTTGATAAACTCAATCACGAGATTGCAGTGGCCAAACTAGAGCGACTTGGCTTTCACGGTTCCCTTCTTGATTGGCTTCGCTCATACCTCACCGGTCGACATATGTCAGTGAAGATAGGAGATCATATTTCTCAACCATTCACTGTTTCTTGTGGTGTACCTCAAGGCAGTCATCTGGGACCGTTCATATTTTCAGTGTATCTAAATGACGTTCACTTTGCTATCCGTTGCCTGAAGCTGTCTTATGCTGACAGTTTCAAACTATACTATACATCTGGAATCTCAATCGAGAACTGTTGGAATCATTGTTGGGTATGTCCAACATCAATGGAATGTCTGGAATCTCCTACGAGAACTGCTGGAACCATCGTCGGGAATGTCCGAAATCACTTCGGGAACATCTGGAGTAAACATCAGGAAAGTCACCATCGAGAATAACAACAAATATATTATATTAACAATATGATCCACTCTTTTTAGCGATGAAAGCACCTCTGTGGCCAAAAAGGCTACCAATGTATTTGTTTATCGTTACGGGGGGTAAACCAAATGAAAATTTGTTTAATATTTCAAATGAATATATTTCAGCATATTATTTTATTTGATGACAACAGTGACCTGTCAGCCAAATTTTAAAGTAATATACACAATGTAATTAATGAAAATAATGTGACTCTTACTTTTGTAATAAGTGATATATTCGCACCCTACGATTGTAATTGAATAATTGTTGCTGACCTTTTTCAACGCTAGATGGTGTGTGAAGCAATATTTTGTGGGTCACCATTGCAATATTTGGAAAAGGCATAAATGGATCATATTGTTAATATGATATATTTGATAACAATCATCGCTGAAATCATCGTCGGGAATGTACGAAATAACTTCGTGAACACCCGAAATACCCGTCAGGAAAGTCTGTATTCAAGTTGGACACATATGTAATCTCCTTCGTCGATAATGTATGGAAACACCGTCGGGAACTCCCCAGTAGTTACGCCAATGAGTCTTCCATTTTAGATATCAGAACACGAAACACTCTTAACCCATTCGCAACTGAAACGCCAGAATATTCCACCGTGAGCAACTGGAATCGTTGTCATGAATTTCCGGAAATTCTTCGATATCATCTGGATTATCGATTGGGAACTGCTGTAATTGTAGAAAAAATGGGAATATCCGGAATCACTTCGGGAACTACTGGAATCCTCTTTGGAAATGTCTGGGATCACTTCGAAAAGATCTGGAAGCTCCTTTGGGAACTGCTGAAATCACCGTCGGGAACGTCCGAAATCAACAAGAATGTCTGGTATCTTCTTCGAGACGTACTGAAATCACCAACGGGAACGTCCAGATTCTCCGTCGGGAACGTATGAATTCAAGTCTACAACTTTAGATGTCAAAACACCCAAAACTCATGACGAACGCGTTTCGCGCACGCTACTAGTTTGACAGAACAGAACATTGAAAAAATCTACTGACAAATCAGATTAGAAATATTGTGTATTTCATTGGGAAAAATACGCCGAAACCTGCGCAGAAATCGTCGCCAAAGGAATGCTATGGTGACGATTTCTAAGATAGCGCGTTTTGCCTCCATTAAAAGGTCTGTTCCCGTATATGTTTTTCTGTAAGATTCTGTAGAGCAAATAGCAAAAGTAAATTTCCGTACTTTTTGCAGCATATGATTTTCGTACAGCAAAAGAAAAAAAGCAAGTACGGGAACAAGGCTATTACAATGCTCAATGGCGTTACGCATTCGTACCAGTTTAACAAATTCTAACTGAGCACTGTTTAGTTGTAATTTTAGCTATTCAAACTAACGGGGTTCAACTGTAGATCAAAACATTATAATGACTTCCCCGTTGTCTACAATATGAAATTTCACAGTTTCTGTAAATCACTCTTGGTAGGAATTATATGCACAGTAGTGTGTTCCAGCGATCGCAAAACAAGCATTCGAAAGAGAGAGAAACATCAATTTACGGTATAACAACGGGTACAGAAACATTACAAGTGACGTGATCAAAACCAAACAAGATAATAACAACCAACTATGGAAAGTTGCACAAAATATGATGTGAAATAGTTATAAGTATTAGTGGACAGTTTAAGCGTGTTTGTTGATTTGTGGGCATTGTATTGCTTAATGAATGTGTGTGAATTTAGACCAATGCCATCCAAAGTTTCAACATCCAGACAAATTTGCAGTTCTTCCAGGTTCTAAGCCTTCAGCAAGCGTCATCACCTTCACAGCAAAAAAATAATTTTGAAATCACGTCAAAGTGGATGCACTACAATCATGTCGAAAATATGGTGTAATATTACTTGCTAAAAAGGACAAAATTATCATTAATACAATGCATGAACTGACATTACGCTGCTTTTACTGCATTTGTTTATTTATGTGGTCATAAAAATTACATGAAATTTTCGACATGATTGTAGTGCATCCACTTTGATGTGATATCAAAATTATTTTTTTGCTGTGTTCAGAACAACAAACCTTATAGGAAAAACATTGAAACTTTTACATGACATAGGTGTATTATCATTGATGTGAGTAGTTGCTCAAAGCAGAGTTTTGCGAGGTGAGAGAATGTGACAAATGGATCAAAAATACATCTGAAAGTCGTGTGAATGCTAATTTATCTATATGCATTTCAGATGCATTCTTTCCCAGTAGCAAGAACATCAAAACAGCGATTCCATTAGAGTAATTGCAAAATGTTATCATTGGAGATTATCAAAAGCAAATAACAAAACAGAGAGCCAAACGAGAATTCGATTAAACACAAAAAAAAACAGAAAAACAACATCAACGGCCGAAACAAACACTGAGTCAGTTACAGCGAGAGGAACAGATTATAATCATCTTGATTTTTTTTTTGCTCCTCTCCTTGTTTCACGAACCGAAACGGCACGAAAAGAGAAACAATAGCAAAGTAAAAACAAATATTTTTTTTCCAGCGCTAAACAAAAACATTGTTCAATGCATCTCTGCTTACCCTCGCCATCGGATTTAAGGTAGAGCTTTCCTCGGGGACTCAAGTACGAACGGTGCGATTCTGGTGGTAGAGGTGGATTGAATGTTGGGATGTTGTTGTTGTTGTTTTTGTTAAAGTTGTTATTGTTGATGTTGTTGTTGTTATTATTGTTAGAGTTGGGAGTTGGTTGTGGTTTGGTTGTTGCGGTTAGTTGGAGTCGGAAAAATCAAGAAAGCAACAGACATAGAAAAAGAGAGAGAGAGAAAAAAAAGAAATGAGAAATGACGATGAGAAACTTTTGAATTTGTCTCTTGTTACATCGAGATGTGGAGTATGGATGAGAAATGCGATACAAGAAGGGTGCGCGTCAATCATGGTTAGTCTCCAACTTGAGGGAAAAGAGTTTTTTGATCTGAAAACGGAGGAATGTGCCGAATCTATTATTATTATAAAGAGCGGCGAGAGCTGCTTCGGAATCCAGCAATGGTAGTGCTTTCCAAAATCAAATTTTTCATGAAAACCGTTGGAGGATGATTTTAAAGGATAAATTTAGTGGTAACATGAGTTGGCATGGGACTTCTCGTACAGTCATTCCGTGGTTCAATTTTCCCACAGTGCCGTGCCTGACCATTTCGACACGCAGCAAGCAGAACACAAGCATACACATAATGAATGGAAAACCCGAACCCTGAAACCCACAGAGAACCGCAGTTTGGACAACATTTAATTCAATTTCATTTCCTCCCGAATGAAAAGCACACACCAACTGGTTCTCCTTAGCTATGAAGGTATGTACAACGCTATCCCCGGGGCCTTTTTGTACCATGGAGTAAACACAAAATGTACAACTCCCTGCATGCTTCTCATTCCCGCGGTCGAGATTGAGTTTGAGAAGAACGAGGCTGAGCTTCCCCACGCAGAAAAAAAATGAAAGGTAGGACCTACTTGAGCTTCGGCTGTTTGCAAGTCATTCGCAAATTAAAGAAACTTCCCAAGTCATTCCTTACCTAGAGGTACCTTCGCTTCGGTTGTGTAAATCTTCTCTGTTTTTTGCAGTCACCTCCTCTTTAGAGACGTGCTCTAAGCACTCTCCATTCTACTACTAATGGACGAGTTTGGATGAGAATCACCTTGATAAGGAAGCGGTTCAGATGCGGTGTGGAGTGACGGTGTCCAACCGGATCCGACTCTAATCTGATTACGAGGAACAGATTATGTGATTACGTGATTCGGAGGACAATGATGTTTGTTCAAATGCAAGCTGAAAGGGTTGGTTCTCCAGTGCCAGTTAGCCGGTGAGCTAGGTAAAAGATCCCTGGGGAGATTTTGCAGGAAGTTGTGAACGGGTTTCTAACGGGGGTTTCTGTGCGACGTTTTAGCACTAATTGGATGAAACTTGCATATGATAAGGAAAAGTGGAGTTGAGAAGAACTCTTGAAAAATGATGCAGAAAATTCCTGTGACAGATAAAAGTCATCTTTTTTTGGAAGTTAATACAAAGAACTTTCTACAACTCGATATTGAAGAGACCATCGAGTTATAGAATTATCCAGTTATACAATAACAATTACATATAAAATACCTATCACAGTATCCATGGCATTCATTTTTACTATGGTTCAATTACTCGATATCGAGTTAGTGGACATCAAGTTGTGGAGAGTTGACTGTATATTTAAATATAGTCGTTAGATTGTTTGGTAAATAAAGATCCTTAATTGTAAAATATTGAAAATGACTATTGGCCCGCGAATGAGGAGCTTTACCCTATCCACTTCGAACGACATCGATCGGCACACGGACAGCTTCATCTGACAATTACATGAATTGCTTTATCTTTCTTTCTCATTGCATTCCAAGAGGAATCACTCTATGTCAGGGACGATGGGACAAGATGGCCACCCTAGGCTTAAAGTAAAATTCAAACAAAACTACACTAAATGTCCACGATAAATTAAGTATATATTGATCTATACAGTACTTTCCCTAATTACATTGATTTTCAGCAAATTTCCTTTTCAATTGATGATGTTTTATCATGAATGAAGAAAAAAAATAGCGGCGCCGGTGGTGTAGTGGTAAGCGTGATTGCCTCTCACCCCAGCAGGCCTGGGTTCAATCCCAGTCAGCGCCCCCGGGATGTTCTGAGGCATAACATCTCTGATCACGCCTTCCTTCGGATGGGAAGTAAAGCCGTTGGTCCCCGGTTCATGAGTTGATGGGTCGATAGGTAGGGTCCAGTTGTGGGAGCTGCTTTCCTGGTGTCGGTAGCATTGGTGCTCAGCACGGAAAACAAGATCGACGTAAAACAAATCCAAGGAAAAAAAAATGAATGAAAATAATGGCCACATGGAATATAACACGATCCTGGCCTGGCCATCTAGAAGGTTACTGTCTTCAACAATGTTGTACACTGAAAAAAAAAAAATCTGAATTTTACTGGTGATGTAAGGATGCATGCATACAAACATTCATGCATGTAAACTTCCTTTTCACGTAAACTAGCAGCTTATAAGAAATTTTGCAAACAAAGGTGGATAGTTGAATACAATATATGGAATAGTGCATGACATGTCTCATAAATTTACACGATCATTAATGTTAACTTGTATAATATATGAAGCTCCATTTATGTGCATAAAGAAACGGAAATTTACAATACTTATTTTTAGCTGTGTACAGTGGGGAATGGCTGATTGGTTAGGTATCAGCAGTCTTCACGAAAGCCTTCTGGCTTGTGCACAAAAATCCAAGCGAATGTTTAGCTTGAACTTGCGTGCAATGTTGAACCCATACATGTACATATCACGCAATACATTCTGGTGTATCAATATTGTTCGCAAGTGTATGCGCAGATGTTTGTACACGGGTTACACACGGGCTTAAACACGGATTTAAACTAGAGATGGGCGATCCGCTCCCGAGCTGTTCTATAGACCCGATTCTCTAAAGTGAGCTGATAACCCGCGGACTCATTACTCCACTCCACACATTGAACAGTCACCGCGTAAACCAAGACGCGCGCGTAATACAACATGTGCCTACTGATCGACAGCACCAACGTCAACATCATGCGCTACACGATGTTAATTTTCTACTGGTATTATCCAATTTATTTATGTACCCGGCTCTTATTGCTGATGTTATTCCTTCAGCATATGTGCTCTCACCTCTCCTCCCGTCATTCTGTGGGGGAGTGGAAGATCCACATAAAAGCAAATATCCGAAAAGCGAAATGCAGCTCTCCAGCTTATCAGCTCAGCTCCGGATCCGAATCATCGACTCGAATGATTCACTGGGAGCTGTTTAGGATGGCGACTCTTGGACCCGTCCAGCTCTTCTGATTTTTTTTGACGTTGGATAACGTCTTTCGGCAACATACGGGGGTACACAATTGAAAACAGTCATTTTGGATGCGTTACGAAAAATTAAAAGATTTTGAACGATAATAACTCAACCGTCTCTCGATAGATTTACAAGATAATGGCATCAATCGATTGGAAATATTTCTAGCAATTTTCCTGAATGTTTCAAAACTATTCATTTCATTCTGTAAACTATTGAAAAATGGTAAAAAGTAAACCATTGTCTAAAGATGGTGAAAATCGATTGATTTTTTTATATTCTTATACTTTCTCCAACCGAGACATCAGATGCGAGTATCTGACACCTCTGATATTTTCTGTTCTACTATATAAGCGTCCAACAAGGTCGCTCGTTCCATCATTGTCTATCCGATCGTCAACCCAGCAGCAGTACCAGAGCAGCGGAAGCAGAGCAACGGCAGCAGAGCAGCGGCAGCAGAGCCTGGGGGCGAAAGGGCAACTACGCCGAGTGCGTTGGTGCCAGTGCTCCGGTATACTGGGCCGCCGTCATGGAATGCCCAGCTGCTGCAGTTCTCAGTCGGTCGTATTCACCGTCTGCTCCGCAAGGGCAACTACGCCGAGCGCGTTGGAAAAATGGCCACAACATTATCAAGAAAGAGTTCAACGATTAATTTTCTAATGCCTTGCCGACACTTTAATATCGAAAGTTGAATCTTCGCAGAGCCATATTTTATCTCGAATAATAATTTTAAAATTCTTAACAATGGATGATGCTACGAGAATCTTGAAAACATAATAAAATTTACTTAGAAAGTACCATAAAATATATGTTATTTTCTAGTGGTTTGGGCAAAGACCTTTTCACTTTGATGCTACATGAAAATAAAGTGAAATTTATTTCGAAATCATATACCGGACCCGCTGTGTTAGTTTTCAAAATCTCGAAAACAAACCCCCGTACACGTTCTACTTCGTTACTTAATCTGGACTAGAACGGAACGAGCGAATTAAAATTTTAAAAGTTCACTACAACTCTCTTGAATTATTGTCGATTTTTGTAAAGATTTCGACGGGGTAATTAAGCGCGTTCTCCACGAATACGACGAGCCAGCTGGATGTCCTTCGGCATGATAGTGACACGCTTGGCGTGGATGGCACACAGATTGGTATCCTCGAACAGACCGACCAGATAGGCCTCGCTAGCTTCCTGCAGAGCCATAACAGCTGAGCTCTGGAAGCGCTGATCGGTCTTGAAGTCCTGGGCAATTTCACGGATCAGACGTTGGAAAGGCAACTTTCGGATCAGCAGTTCGGTGGATTTCTGATAGCGACGGATCTCACGCAAGGCGACGGTGCCTGGCCGGTAGCGATGGGGCTTCTTTACACCTCCGGTGGCTGGAGCGCTCTTGCGAGCGGCCTTCATTGCCAACTGCTTGCGAGGAGCCTTCCCTCCAGTAGACTTGCGTTGGTTGTGATGTGTATTCAATGAGAGCACACATAGCTAGATAGATAGAGCACAGCACACAATGATATGATTAATAAATAAATGTGATGTCGAAATTCTTGAAACAGAACTCTTTAACTGTATTATTGGTAGTCCTGAAAAGGACTGTTTTGGGTAATTCTGTGTCGTTGAACATCAACAACATGTTCGAAGTTTACTTCTTGACGACCTTCTTCGGGGCCGCTTTCTTGGCTGGGGTGGTTCTCTTCGGCTTCGGGGTCTTTGGCTTCTTGGCAGCGGTATTCGAGGGC